ATGATGCTATTTGAAATAATAAAGTTGACACCCTTATATGATGTAAGGAATGATTCAAAATTAAGTAATAAATAAAAAAATATATGCAACTAAAAGAAATCAGAAATTTTTTTTCCAACATAATATTTATTTTGGGAGTAATCTAATGGTTAAGGCGTTTGGGTACCGACTTTTTTAGGAGGTCGAATATATGCAAATTTTTCGATTTTTTCATGTTACGCAAAGTCGTTGTGTGAGAAGTAGATGATTATTTGTGCGAGTATCCATTATTAGGAGTAGTTCCGTTGTGTTATAGTTGATAACAAAACCGGTTGTGAACTTTTTGATACAATACGATTATAATGATTAAATAACGACGCATGTTTATTTTATTAGTATAAAAACCATAGTTTAGCACCAGCTCCACCGCAAATACTTATAGATGTTTCATGATTTCACAGATTTTAATTGATTATAAAAATATTTAAATTATCTATTTTCGACGAGTATGAAAAACTAAATATTTACAGAGTTTGCGCTCCGGATGACAATCGTAAAAAGACATTATAAAAACTATCTCCAATTTTTCTAAAAAAAAACCATTATTTCTAACGAATTATATTTTAACCTTGCTCTTCTTTAATAATTTTGCATCGTGAAAAAATTACTGACTCATTTATTAAATTCTCTTTGTTACTTGTTTGAGGTATGTCAAGTAAAATATTGGTTGAGAGAATTGGAAATATTCTACCAAAATAATATTTATATTGTATTTATTTTTTAATTTTCATGTGTAGCTGAAGTGGTATTTTGATTTTACAGTAATGTGTATTTTTATCAATATTTTCTACTAAAGAACTTTTAATTTTCAGTCTGACTGTGCATCTAAATAGTTTTTTTTTTTTAATGTCACTTTTACCTCTTGCATTTTAAGCACCTATTTAGTATTACACTAAATATAGGTTATATCTGATTATCGCTCATATCTAACTTGCTTTTTTAAAAAATGATATACCTTTTTTTTTTGGTTGTAGTTTAAAAATCACTTTTAAATTTAATATGAGAGATTTATATATTTGATGATCAACAATTTACAAATGTGTTGAAATAAAAGACTCATCACATAAGTTACTTAGCGTTAGTTCTAGGTGATAACATATTGTGTCACTGAAAAAACATGTTATTGTATCAGATTTAAAGGGAAATTATTAAAATATAATGTTGAATACATCAAAAAGATAAATTTTGTGATATTTTGGGGTATCGTTGAACAATAACAGTTCAGTAGGTACAGATATATATTAGGGTGTCCCTTATTTTGAAAATTTTGGAAATTCTTCGGGCTCACCCCCCAAATTTATGTGTATACATATAAAAAGTGGCTACAAAAAATTCCAGGCCGATCAGATAAGTTTAACCCGTGCCGACTTGGGGTTGAAAATCGGGCAAAAGGGGTACTTTTTTAGTTTTTAGCAATTAACTCGTAAATTAGCACTCTCACAAAAAAAAATATTAAAACTAAATTGTAGATCTAATTGTTTTGTATAAATTAAGTCCTTACAGTTTTTCTTTTAAGTCCATTAGTTTTCTAGAAAAATGTCAAAATATATAATATTTCGTAAAATTGCCGAAATTAGCATATTTACGAATATTTTATCATATATGACGAACCATATGTGATACGACCTAATGTTTCATACAAAAATTGTTTAAAATTAAATTTTACGAAATAAAAGTATTAAGTACAAATTTCATTGAACCGATCGTTTTATTGCTATAGCTGAATTAACTCGATCATATTACGATTTTTACTAAATATATGAATTTTATTGCTTAATTTAAATATATTTCCTTTATATTGTAAAGTGATGTATTTGTTTGACTTAAACTCATAATGATACTTACTTCTCAATATTATTGTATAAATTAAAAAAAAGTTACTATATAAAATACAAAATGTTAAATTCAAAATAATTCACAAATTATAACAAAAATATACATTAAAAACTATGTTTTAATGTTTTTTTGTTGCAATTAGGATATAATATTCTATGCTCTTGAACACACAGTGTAAAAGTAACTCAGCTTTTTCATCGTTTACAGTTAAACTTTCATGAAAATCTTCCATTACCTTAACCGCTTTATCTGCAGAGTCATTTACTACTTTAAGTGAACATACAATTTCTTTTCCGTGTAAATAAAAATTATCAGTATTCCAATTACTTGGATCCAAATTTAAAAAATTAGTATTGATATCGAATCGTTTAAAAAATTTCATACTGCTTTTTGACAAAAAAGAAGCTACAGTTTTTTCTAAAAAAAAATATCAATCACTCAATAGTCATCAAAAAATAAAGATATCAAAAATTATTATACATGAAAATGATTTGTCAATATGAACCGATGAAAGAATAAAACGTTTACTAGGGTTTATTATTGACTCATTATTAAGGGATACAACCATTAATTTTTTTATTTCGGTTGAAATGGAATCGTCCATTTCCCAGAAAATATTACACTCGCGAATAGTCAATACTGCTTTTGCTCTTATAGTAAGATTAACAATTCTTAGGTTATAAAAAAAAACTTTTAGAACTTGTCCAATGGATGGAAGTTTTGAACCTAAAATTTGAGTAGTCAAAGACCCTATTAAAAATATTTTATTGTCATTTCTTAATACTACGGACATTTTTACGTACACTAAAAGAAAAACACAATAGGAAGCAGTTCAACTTAATACGCGATGTGAGCGACTAAAGTGGTATAAGTATAAGTTTACTATATCAATTGCTGCGATTTGTAATAAATTTACGATTTCCAGAGTTATTTATAATTTAAAAATAATAACAATACATTAATTCAGTCATACCATAGTATTATCGCCGTACTTGTACGATAAGTGTTGTAATGAACCAGATGATAACTAACAGAATCTAGCATTAAAATTCATATATTTAGTAAAAATCGTAATATGATCGAGTTAATTCAGCTATAGCAATAAAACGATCGGTTCAATGAAATTTGTACTTAATACTTTTATTTCGTAAAATTTAATTTTAAACAATTTTTGTATGAAACATTAGGTCGTATCACATATGGTTCGTCATATATGATAAAATATTCGTAAATATGCTAATTTCGGCAATTTTACGAAATATTATATATTTTGACATTTTTCTAGAAAACTAATGGACTTAAAAGAAAAACTGTAAGGACTTAATTTATACAAAACAATTAGATCTACAATTTAGTTTTAATATTTTTTTTTGTGAGAGTGCTAATTTACGAGTTAATTGCTAAAAACTAAAAAAGTACCCCTTTTGCCCGATTTTCAACCCCAAGTCGGCACGGGTTAAACTTATCTGATCGGCCTGGAATTTTTTGTAGCCACTTTTTATATGTATACACATAAATTTGGGGGGTGAGCCCGAAGAATTTCCAAAATTTTCAAAATAAGGGACACCCTAATATATATAGACACAAACAAAAAATACATAGTAAAACTAATACCTTCTCACTTTTTAATGGAAGTTAAGATAGCGTATGAGAATTATTTTTATATACACGCACCTCACCAGATATTTTTTATTGACGCCACTTATTTAAGATTAATACATTACCTCTATTCTTTTTATTTGATAGTGGTATTGTTTTACGAATTCCGATTTTTTAGTGAAACTTAATAATTGGAAAATAGTAACAAAATTTGTTTCGTACTATGCAATGATAGCTTTGTCGGTCATTAGATAAAAGCAAATTATTAAATATCATATATACAGGTGTAATATCAAATGTGTATTAATGTGTAACTATTTTTAGGTAGTCGGTATTGCCCTACACAACTCTATTTGCAATAATATAGTTGCTGCGGATAACGCATATACGACACGAGCATGTCAGATAAAATGGTTACTTTTTGAAAACCATTAGTTTGAAAACTTGACAAAACTACCTGTTTTTGTTCTATGAGTACAACAAAACTACTAATGCGATAAGAATTCTGAAAACAGATCTGAATTCAGCATTATATCACTTAAATATCAGATAGGTCACTTTTTTGAAATTGTGTTTCCTTCAACTCAAAAATTTATTTTGATAAAATAAAAATTTTCAAAAATGTAAACTGTACACTTAAGGGTTAAAAACATCAAAATTTAAAAAAAAAATGGCTTGACTGATACTTCAGTGATATGATGCTGAATTCAAATCCGTTTTCAAAATTCCAATCGTATCAGTAGTTTCGTCATACTAATGGAACAAAAACGGGTTGTTTTTTACTAAAGAGCGGAGTCGGTACCTAGACACCTTAATATATATACAGTAGGGTCTCGATAATCCGAACGAGATTGGGGAAAGGGGTCGTTCGGATTACTTATGGCTTAAAAAAAAACATCAATTTTATCGTAATTTAAATTATGAAATTGTATTTTTATCTGTATTAATCATGTAAAAATTCGTAATTTCAAAAGAATATATAAAAATATAACATATAAAATAAAAATGAAAATATAAAAATATTAATATAATTATGGGTATATGTAATTATGAACCTTACTATTTAAAATATTGATTTATTTTTTTTTGTACACTGGTTTCTTTTATGAATTGGTATGCCTTGCCCGTAAACGTCTAAGCAACATAAGTTCTTCGCAGCTTTCATCGTTTTGTTCAGCCCACTGTATGGCCGTATTTAACGCTTAAGTGGCATCTGAAGCAGATATTTTTGAAGGGGGCAAAAATTCATCATCTTCCTTCTAAACGACATACATGTGGGATATCGGATGTACAAACATAATCGAAAAATTTTATTACCGGAAAATATTATTTATAAATAAATATGTACATATTATAGCGATAAGATAATTCTCAAGCCCGTTCGGATTACCGCGTCTTTCGGATTAGCCTGTGTTCGGATTATCGAGACCCTATTGTATATATATATATGAAACTTAATTGTGAATTCATCATACAAAAAAAAAAACTCCTATGTAATTAAAATCTTTTCATTAATATATTTTCAGGACCATAATCAAAGTTTAGAATACAAATCATCAAATAAAAATTCTGATAAAAAGAAACAAGAAGACTTTCAAATCCATTCAAACACTGTAGGTGATACAAAATTATTTAATTCATTTTCAGAATCAATTTTTGATCAAGACAACATATATGGACAAAGTGTTGCAGAAAGACTTAATATTATAAGTTCTATATCTTTAAAAAGAGAAATTAAACTTGAAATTGATCGTTTATTCCTCTTAAAAACTAAAAAAAATTAAAGTAACTTGATTTATTATCGTTTTTTAAACTATTTAAAATTTTTAGTCAAATAATGTAACTTATTCTGAGTTGCAATATATTTAAAATATCTCGTATGAATTGTTTATTTTATCGATTGTTCTTTCTGTACTATTAAAGTAAAAAATAATTTGATTGTAAATTATTCCATAATATTGTGTTATTTTGCTATTTATATTATTCAATTAAAAAAAAAAATCTTGATTTATATTACTTATTTAGTGAAACGATGTGTTAAAATATTTGTTAGTATCATTAATTACACTAATTAAAATAAAATGTGCTATTTTTTTTTAATTTTTTCTTTTTTCAAGTATTGTTTTGACACGACTTACATCGCAATAATGTAGTCGACACTGGTTTAAATAGTAGAGACCTTTGGGTAGTTTGTTATTAATGAACAACAAATTATTTAAAAACTAATAAAAACATGATCATCTGATGTCAGAAGTTAGCAGCATTGATGATTACGGCGCGTTGTCGGTGGCGTATATCATCAATAACGGGAAGACTCGACGTGGTATTGCAACGGTTGGCTGCCAGCCGAGCGGTACTTGTTAGACTTTATACCTCAGACATATCGCACTCGGCGATTATCAGTCAAACTACCATTTATTTACATAAGTAGGGTAATGCCTGACAAATATTACGCGTTTGTGGGGAACCCAAAATTGTGTCAGTTTAAGATAAATTTTAGTAACATTAGTTACAGGGACCTCTTTCTCCCAGGGATGAGACTGTCCTGAAGTCAAAAATATTATATGTAAAGAAGTTATTTTTTTTTATATAAATAATTATTTTTTTAATTCTATGACCTTTTTAATGTTTTCTTTTTGTAATACTTTTGTGATAATTGTTTATTGAAAATATAAAATATTCTGGACGGCTCTATCAAGAGTTACAAAAATTATCTATTTTAGTGTAAATCACGTATGCACCGCTACACATTCTATAATTACGGCTTAATATTACAGCTATTAGATTAAATTTCCCTAATTGAGTTACCCAGAGCTGAAGGGATCAAAGTGATACTATTCAAAAAATAAGTAAAAAAGTACTAAACTAAAAAGTAAATTAGCCCCTCTTTCAATTGATCTAAGATCACTGATTATTTTATATAAATTACCATTTATCATCAATTTCCTAAACTAAATTCATTCAAAGGTTGCATTTCTCAATTTTTAAATTTAGTTTTTTGTGTCACTTTTATCCATTTGCTTTAGAAGCTTCAAATAGTGTAATAACTACCTTATTGAAATAATTTGTAATTAAATTGTTAATACGACAATTGAAGGGCTATGTTCAATGACTAACATAGTCAATTAAAAAAAAATCGGTAGCAATGTGGGGTCGCGGCATAGTATAGACAAGTATAGATGATATCTGACATTATTCTGATTATTTCAAAAGAACAATAACGCTTATTCACTTAATTTTATCCCAATTAGTTATTTGATTTATAATTATAATATATAAATAAATAATAATTATAGTAATTAAATTTGGTATGATATTGATTTTCAATAATTTAATATTGTAATTTTTACGGAGATATTATAAAAATAATAAAGTAGTTGAATATTTCTTTACTTTAAACGCGTATACAAATTTAAAGAGCATTACTTTTTGTGAAAAGTTGTCATTTTAAATCTCCCCCTATGGGCAGGTAAAGGGTCAGATATAAAAAAAAATATATCAAATGATAGGTAAAGACATCATGCATCTATAAAAAAAAGAATTATATTGATCCATACATCTTTCAAAAAGTTATAGCATTATAAAGTTAAAAATATAAAAAAGAATTTTTTTACAAAAATCGTATTTTTTTTATTAAGTTTGATGTTTGTTTTCACCATAAAGATAAAATAAAGTCCAAAATTTTTTTTTTCATGATAAAGTATATTACATTAGCTTTAATTTAAGATATATATAAAAGTGTCAGACCTTCCGGAACATATTCAAAAGTCAAGTTGAAAAAATAAATTTTTTGTGAAAAAGTTGTCCTTTTAAATCCCCCCCCTGTGGGCAAGTAAAGGGTCACATATAAAAAAAAATATACCAAATGAAAGGTAATGATATCATGCATCTATATAAAAAATTATATTGATTCGGTTATTTTTAAAAAAGTTATGGCAATTTTAAGTAAAAAAAATTGAAAAAATGTCAAAAATTAGCGATTTTTAAATTTGTAATTTTTTTGGAGGTTTCCATCATTTACGGGGAACGAGGGATTTTTTTTCAATTTTTGAGGGTAACGTCTTCGACTAGATACGATTTGTGATCTTTTGACGTATCATTGAAAGAAATCGGTTCGGTGAGAGCTGAGAAAAAGTGGTAACAACACAAAAAAAAAAAAATAAATAAACACATCTTAGTAAAACCAATACCTTCTCAGCTTCGCATCGAAGCTAAAAAAATAATTTATTACCATAGTTTTAGTTTTAGTTATTATCGAGGTAAACATAATACCTATGTACTCAGACCTGTTGGTCCATTATGCGCACCTCAAACCAAATTGTCTTGATTCGGTTTACCCACCTAAGTGTTATCACCGAAGTGTTAATACATTAGTGTTAATTTATTACCCTGACTTTTAGCTCAATTTGCAAGTTTGAAATTGACATTTAATAGGAAATTTAATGAAGATTAAAAAAATTATATCGTTAAGATTAATATGCAGTCAGGAAATTTTATAATTACTATTTATAGTAAATTTATCAGAAGAGCTCAATATTTTTTTGCATTTTTATCGTAATAGATAACTTAAATAGAAATAGTAATAATTTCCTAGTAACTTCTGGTGTTTAAAAGATTCTACAAATATTAAAATTACCGATTTTTAAAATTGTAATATTTTGGGGGATTCCCTTGTTTACGAAAAACGATGGAATTTTTGAGGGTAATGTCTTCGACTATATACCATGTAATAACCAAAAGTAGTACTATATAGATATATATTTATATTGGGAAACTGTTGCATGTGTATGAAGAGAGTGTAATGGGGAGAAGTGTAGAGTGTATACTACGTGTTGAGGGGAATACTAAATTCTAATAGTTATTACTTAATAAATGTAGTCAGTGTATTAAAACTACTCTTACCTGATATTCTCTGATGATGAATGAATCTTGAGTGTAGATTTATGATTACTAAGAATATACCCAAGATTCTAGTAGGTATGTTAATAAACGAGAATAGCACTTGGTTAACAGAAGCGTATTTATTATTGTAGAAAAATATTAGTTATTTTCACAAATGTATATTTTAAGTTTAGTGTTAAAAGTTAAAATTATAGACTCACAGTATAAAGAATATGCCAAAATACGTAGGAAATAATCTTAAAGGTTTAATTAGATAAAAGCAATTATTAAGTAAGAGAAAAATGAACGAGTGACTGACTGGAAAAACAGTGTCCTCAGCCTTTATATAATGTACCACAAAAGTCATAAACGGGGATTGGGCGTCCTGAATGTGTCATACTTTTTATAGGCACATTCAGTCATCATTCCATATTTCAATAAACGCAAAAGAATTATTATATTTTAATTTCCTTTTTTTAGTACTTTAGTGGTGCCTGGAAGACGGCACGAAAGACAATGATTCACGTTTATTTTATAGTTGCCCAAAAGTTAATACTATATGTGTAATTGTGTTAACGTATTCTTTTCTGTGGTCTTATAGAATATTACAACCATTTGTGACCTTTTGACGTAGTGTTGTTCATCAAAATCGGTCCAATGTGAGCTGAGATTGAGCGTTCACAGACACAAAAAAAAAAATACAAAAATACATCATAATAAAATTAATACATCGGAGCTAAAAAAAATGTTTTATTAATTTCGATTAAATATAGTTATTTTCAGTACTTAAATACAAAAATAGGTTTTATATTTAAATTATTTGTGAGAATATTTAATCTAAAAATAACGATTTATCATTTCTATTAACGAAAAAACACTTTGAATTAAAAGCAACTCACTGAGTTGCTTTTCCTGAGAAATGTTTTAAGGTCAATTAAGCATTTGTTGTACAAAGAACTTCAACTAGATAATAATAGTAACAAAGACTCGTATTATTTATAAATTTGGTCGCTAGAATTATGTTATGAAAATGTCAGTGTTACTCCGGGTGTACTTTAATTATTTTAAAAGTAGCAATATATATCATTGTAAGGGGCCTAGTGGGTAAATACGTATGAAGTCTCGGGTTCAATCCCCAAGGTGCCAACAAGATTTTTCTTTTGATTTTCTCATTAGTGAAGTGTAATCTCTGGTTGAATATAATACCCGCCCCGTTCATATTTGGTCTTGCCAAAAATCATTTTTGACTCCCTAACATGTAAAAGAGGGTCACCATTCTCTATAGCATGTTAAGTTCCAGAAATAGAAGGATGTAAAACTGATCAGTAATACATATAATCAATAACCATTCAATGAGGAGAGGATTTATAATTTTTTTCTCATAACCTATACTTACGATCACCAAAACCAAACATTGTTTATAGCAGAGCAGCCCTGAAGCTAAAATTATGAGGGAAAGCGAATAATTCATTTATTTGTTGAATAAGTTTTTTTTAATTGTACACATTTTTTTAATAATTATTTTTTGGTAGTATCCCCTTATATTAGAAATTTACCAGGTAAAACGATTAAATATTGTCAAGTGGTTGTGTCAAACATCCCCACGACCCCCTCTTAGGGCTGCACTAGTTTATAGCAATTATTATGTATACCATGATAAATTAAGAGGAGGCTATAGCCCTGTCAAACCCTATGTGTAAGCCACTAGTAGTACTAAATGTAGTTCAATAACATAATAGATAATCGTAGTTGAATTTCTAAAATTGTTCTAACTGTTAAATTACAATTAAATTTACTACAAAATAGAAGCCTAAAATTTGAAAAACAAAAATTATAAATTGTAAAATGGTTTATGTCTAGTCATAGAGAAATTACAATTAAGATAATTATGGGTTTCTTTGTGTATGAATACTTTATCCACCTGCTATGTATACTTTGCATTTACGTTTAACTACTAGAAATAAATCCCATAGAAGGTAAAGCTTATT